ACCAGAAGATTTTGAGTACTTGAGGAGGAGTTTACTCGAGTTGTGAATATTTTGTGCCTCCAGTTAGTTAAGTTTCTAAAACCAACTGTTTGGCTCATCTTACCTTTGGCATTTCCATACAGACTTCTGTCTTCAGCTGTCAGCTCTAAAAGGGAACTGGGTATACTGAATGTTCAATCAGATGAACTTGAAGCTTGGACAAATTCCTGGAAAGGTTGTTCTGTTTGCATCTTTCTTATTGCTTTGTGATTCCTCTGTCAGGAGGTGTGTAGATGATGCATAGGATTGAACAACTTGAACTATAGTTTTGTGTAATTTGAACTAAAGAAGGTTCCATTCTTAGAATAAATCAGAGACACACCTACCATTGACAAAGCCCCCTTCTGCACTGCCATATAATCCAGATTATCAAAGACGATAATCCACATTATCTGCTTTGAACTGGATTATATGAGTCTACACTGCCATATAATCCGGTTCAAAGCAGATAACCTGATTTTATATGGCAGTGTAGAAGGGGCCCTTGTAATATGAGATAAAAGTGGCATAATGGGAAGCAAATTGAATGTGCACCTGATCACACGTCAAGTGCAGGAACCAGGTCAAGGCATGAGTGAAGATAAAAAATCTCAGAGAATTCAGTTCCAACCCAGTTCCAGGATTCATAGTATTCCCAGCTTCACAACCATGTAGGATTCAGATCTGTGTGCTTTTCAATGTCCCCCTTCCAATGCACATGTGCAGATCAACAGAACAGACTACCCATACCTTAATCAGTTTCACCTTGAGATGTGGTTTATACCTGTGTGTGCTGATCTGCATTACAGGTCCTATTTCAGAGTATCCCGCGACATTGTTTATCCTGGTTTAAGGCCTTTAATGCACAGTCCTGCATGTGTACAAGCTGTGCATCATGAAAACATTGGGTTTTTGAGATGTCTACAATTCACTTTAAGTGGTCAGTATAGATGTACTCCTAGAATCAAAACTTTGATTGGTTTTTTAAGTAATCATTAGAGCATAGAATGAACACATTGATCAATAGTTCTACATAGCCTCCAAAATCCAGTTTGGAAGTGGATTAAAACAAACTGGTTTCACTGTGCAGGGCCTACACAAACTCCCCAAGAGGCTGAGATGATGACCATAGTACCTACTGACTGGATATCAGAACTGGACCCAGGAGCTGCAGTATATGTGGATAGAAGAACGCCTTCTACACTGCCATGTAAAATCCAGCTTTGAACTGGAGTATATGGCAGTGTGGACTCAGATAATCCAGTTCAAATCAGATAATGTGGATTATCTACTTTGATAATCTGGATTATACAGCAGTGTAGAAGGGGCCTCTGGACCCTTCCAAACAGGCCCTATTTCCTAGGATCGGATCCCAGGTTTTCTGCTTTAAACTGGATTATATGAGTCTGCACTGCCAGATAATCTGGGATAAACAGAAAATGTGGGTTCAGATCCTGGGATACAGGGCCTGTCTAGAAAGGCCCTTATTCATCAGAAAATGTGTTTCTTTTTTGTGATACACTGATGTGTTGCAGACAATCAGAGCATATCCCAGTTTGAATCCCTGCATGGGATATACTTTGATCAAGTGCAGCATATTATAGGTAAAGATTTCCCCTTGATATTAAGTCTAGTCAATTCTGACTCTGGGGGGTGGTGCTCATCTCAATTTCTAAGCCAAAGAACCAGCGTTGTCTATAGATGCCTCCTAGGTCATGTGGCCGGCATGACTGCATGGAGCAGCATTACCTTCCTACTGAAGGAGTTCTTGATCTACTCACATTATACAGCCCAACAAAACACATTCTGGTGTTGGTTTTTAGGCCTGTTAATGGGGTTATTTGGGGCACCAATTCAGAAAAATGCATGGGATAGACAGCATCAGCTCTAGTTTCTTAGATATGGTCATCATGATTTCTCCTGGGTGAGCTGATGATGACTGGTATATGTCATATGTTCTGTATCTCAAAAAGTTAAAAACAGATGGGGGTAGACTGGTGCCACTTTTTGAATCAGTAGATCAAATATACTCATAAACACAGTTAACATTTGAGGCACCAAAATGAGTGTTGGCCAGTGTTATATGGAATGTTTTGTACTTTCTGGTGAGTTTTTCAAAATTCGCTGTTTGTGTCTTGATGCATGCTAAAGCATGCATTGGGGGTGCACATTTTGTGACCAACCTACCCTCAAGCCAGGTTCAAACTGCATTACAGTGTCTATGTAGAACTCCCTACATTTGTGAAGCATTAAATTTTGCCATAATTATGTTGAAAACCACTTTGAATCCCCCACTGGGGTGAGAAAAGTGGTATACAAGTGAAGTAAATAAATAAATCAATAAATAAATACATTTCAATTACTACATTTTTTTCCAAATTCCACAATACTGAATTTAAACCTGTGAATTAATCTGAGAATTGCAAGTAATCAATCTAGTTCCCTATTTTTAAAGCAATCTTTCATGGAAAGAGCTTCATACATTTAACTATAGACTTAGGGAGAACAATCATGTTTGTATGTTTAGCCTCACAACTCTGTGTGTTTTATGAGTTCCATATAAATGCTCTGCTCCTATTTTATCTCATTATAGTTAACTGTTTTTATCCTGAATATGTGGCCCGCCCATTGTCATCCTTACTGTGATTGTGTTTATTGGAATGTTTATCTTATGATTTTTTTTCTTTTAATGTTATTTTAATGATGTTGTTTGCTGTATATGTTTTGATTTTATTGCTGTATTATGTGTTCTGGGCTTGGCCCCATGTAAGCCGCTCCGAGTCCCCATCGGGGAGATGGTGGCGGGGTAGAAATGAAGATTATTATTATTATTATTATTATTATTATTATTATTATGTTGCAGTTGGCCGTGATAGAAATACAGCTCCACTTTTTAACTTTTTAAACAGAGGGCCAGATCACAGTCCCACAAACTGTTGGAGGGCTGGATCATAATTTGAAAAAACATGAATGAATTCCTATGCACACTGCACATATACTTATTTGTAGTGCAAAAAAACCCACTTAAAAATAATACAATTAAAATGAAGAACAATTTTAACAAATATAAACTTTTTAGTATTTCAATTAGAAGTGTGGGCCTGCTTTTGGCTCATGAGATAGGATTGTTGTTGTTGTTGTTGTGTGTTTTCAAGTCGTTTCAGATTTAGGTTGACCCTGAGCGAGGGCCGGGTAAATGACCTTGGAGGGCCGTATCCGGGCCCCAGGCCTTAGTTTGAGGCCCCCTGTCCTAATATGTTGTTCTCTGTGTTTTTAGGTGGCCACTTAGCATGGATCCATTTCGTGAATTATTTTGTCCCTCTGAAATCAGAGACGTCTGGTCCGTAGAATAATGAACTTCTTTAAACATACGTCAATGTTTTTCCATAGTTTTACTCTCGCAAAAAAATGTGCAACATGAACATGATAGTGTTGTTAAGAGATCAAGAAAAAAATAACTTAGTGCATTAGGAATTTCAGACTGTCAAACTTTCAACAATTGGCCTTTTGTTAAATTGAGAAAGATCACATTTGTTCAACCAATTCATTTTAAAAAGTATATTTTCAAAATAAAAGCAATGTTTTAAATAAATATTAGAAACACCCATTTCTAATAGAGGTAATGCAAAGGCATACTAAAGCGTTGAGAAATTGAAATAGAGGAAAATCACTGGAAATATTTGAGCCAGACACAATTACAGATGGTGAAATAGAGACTGCGTGTTTATGTGCATCCCTATGAGACACAACTCTAGCAGAATAATTGATCTATTCTCAAAATTTCAACAAAGCTTTTATGGAGCATCAGAGTAAGATAACTATCTTGTTTTTCAAAATATTTATTTCTGCCCTTAATCCTTTGGTGAGTCTGTCAGGCTGCCTTGAGATTTCTAGCACATTGTGCTTATTCCTTACAATCAAATCTTTTTTGTGTGTCAGGAGTAACTTGAAAAACCGCAAGTCGCTTCTGGTGTGAGAGACTTAGCTGTCTGCAAAGATGTTGCCCAGGGGACGCCTGGATGTTTTGATGTTTTACCATCCTTCTGAGAGGCTTCTCTCATGTCCCCGCATGAGGAGCTGGAGCTGACAGAGGGAGCTCATCCGCACTCTCCCTGGATTCGAACCTATGACCTGTCGGTCTTCAGTCTTGCCAGCACAAGGATTTAACTCTACAATCAGACTGGTACAGTGTGAATATATTTTGCATGTAGATCAGGGAGAGCTTCATTTATGTAGGAACAGACTCTTGACCATAAGCACAACTTGCAATTCTGGTGAGTTTTTGTGGCTCACCAAACTCAATTTCAGCTTTGCATGATACAGCTGTGTTACAAAATTATCCTAACAGCAATTCGTATGACAATATATGAGGTAACAAGATGCATGTGCTATTTATTAAATGGTCACTCAAATCCCAATCTCTGAATAGCTTATCTGAAATTTTTACTGACCTAGTTTGGTTGTGTAAATTTGTTCTCAGACACAAACAAAATAAGGCCTGGGTTGTTGTAGGTTTTTCGGGCTATATGGTCATGTTCTAGAAGCATTCTCTCCTGATGTTTTGCCTGCATCTGTGGCAAGCATCCTCAGAGGTTGTGAGGTCTGACCTCACAACCTCTGAGGATGCCTGCCATACATGCAGGCAAAATGTCAGGAGAGAATGCTTCTAGAACATGGCCATATAGCCTGAAAAACCTACAACAACCCAGTGATTCCAGCCATGAAAGCCTTCGACAATACAAAATAAGGCCTGTTTTGTATTTGTTTTAGCATGGCTTCTTACATTTTAAAGATTTGAGCTCACAATTTGTTATCCGAAGCCAGATTACAAATGACAAAAGAACAATACACACATTTAGATTAGAAAGACGGCTCAAAACAACTGTAGACTGGTGCTTCAGAGTTTTTGGCAGGCACCCCAAGATGCAGCCCTTGCTAATGGGACTTGCTCAGGACTGTTTACATCAGTGGAGAAAAGAGAATGAGTATCTTTGAGCTTTAATCTCAGGCGCACAGTTTATACAATCCCCTTTCAGACAAAGGCAGTGGAAAATAACATTCTGGAATGGAGAAAGATAATTCCGAAATGGTTAAATATATGGTATCTAAACAAACCCGCACACTTTGTAAAATCAAAACCTGGTATCACTCAGGTCCCTTATACACTGCCATATAAAATCCAGACTAGTGGATCTACTTTTAATAGGACTATATGGCAGCGCAGACTCATATAATCCAGTTCAAAGCAGATAATGTGGTTTATCTGCTTTGATAATCTGAATTATATAGCACTGTAGAAGGGGTTTTAGTCAATAGCATTTTGCAGAGCTCAGCTAGGGCCCCTTCCAGACAGCTGAATAAAATCCCACATTATCTGCTTTGAACTGGAATATATGGCAGTGTGGACACAGATAACCCAGTTCAAAGCAGATATTGTGGGATTTTCTGCCTTGATATTCTGGGTTATATGGCTGTCTGGAAGGGCTCTTAATTTCACACATCTTTTTCGAATTAAAAAATACCGATCAATTTCTACCATTAATACATATTTCACAAATGCATTGAAACTGTGATTAGCAAAAAGTCAGTGGAATGTTAATCAGAAATCCAATGGAGATCTGTCAAAAAGAATATTCTGACTACTTAATATTTCATCAGCTTAATTTAATGGGTAGTTTAATTATTTAGCGTTCCTGCTATAGTAAGAAACTTATTATTAATCCATGCCAATAAAAGAAGAGTTCTCTCTCTCTCTCTCTCTCTTTCTTTGGCCTTTTGTATTGTTTTGCTGGTAAAATCTGTCGGACAGTGCATTAGAAGCTGCCACTAAAAGAATAGCACAGTAAAACCAGGCATAAAATCAGTGTATAATATACTCTCTCTATCCACCTAAGTTTTATAAAAATCTGGTCAGAAATGTCAACAAAATAAATAAGGAACAGAGCTAATAAAGTAACACATGGCAGAGGTTTTACTGGGATCTCCCCACACAGACACATATACAACGTTTGAAATGTTTAGAAATGTCACCACTAAGAAAATCAAAACTTAGATAAATGAACTGCAATAAAACACTGGCATTGTGAGGACTTAATACTTCTGACACCCTGTAGAGGGCATTCTTGCGTAATCTTCTTTTTTTTTTCCTCCTCTTTTTTTTTAAATGCATTAAAAAAATAATTTCCGGCTATTGAAATATATGACACACCAGACAGTACAGGCTTCTTTCACAGCCTCCCGTTCTCATCGCCGGTCTCCTTCTCTTCTATGGCTTCGAGGCCTCGCTTGGACTTGGCATCCACATTCCCACCTCCTGTTTTGCTCAGTCCACATGACAAGCAAGCCAGGTGAACCTGCTTCATGTTCTCAACGGCTTCGTTCTTGGCGTTCATCAAGAGGTCCCCTTGCCCCTAAGCGTACATCACAAACAACACAGAAAGACAAAAGAGTCAGGCATTAACATAGATGGTTACAAATCTATTAAGGTACTAGCCGTCCCCTGCCACGCGTTGCTGTGGCCCTGTCTGGTGATCTGGAAAATAAAGTAATGAGAAAGTGTTGGTTTCTAATATATGAAATTCTTTCTGCTTGGTAAACAGTATTTCTTGCTGTTTCTTTGACAGTGTTGATGTGGAGATTGTGTGGTTTGCTCACTCTGGGACATGCAACATATCATTGTCCTTCTTTAGGGGTCTCTTTCAATTCTATGATACTATATCTCTGTTTGTGTGAATTATCTATATCTATATTTATGGCTGAATGGCTCTTTGTCAGGAGGGCTTTGATTATGTTTTCTTGCCCTGGTGAAGGGAGTTGGAGTAGATGGCTTTAAGTATTTTCTGTTGGTCATGGGGTTTCTGTGTGGGAAGTTTGCCCCAATTCTGTTGTTGGTGGTTCAGAATGCTCTTTGATTGTAGATGAACTATCAATCTCAGTAACTACAACTCCAAAATGTCAAGGTCTATTTCCCCCAAACTCCATCTTTGTTCATATTTGGGCATATGGAATATTCGTGCCAAGTTTGGTCCAGATTCATCATGGTTTGAGTCCACAGTGCTCTCTGGATGTAGGTGAACTACAACTCCCAAACTGAAGGTCAATGCCCACCAAACCCTTCTAGTTTTTCTGTTGGTTATGAGAGTCCTGTGTGCCATGTTTGGTTCAGTTCCATCATTGGTGGAGTTCGGAATGCTCTTTGATTGTAGGTGAACTATAAATCCCAAGAACTACAACTCCTAAATGACAAAATCAAAAAAATTTGAGTGAAGGACATACATTAGGTTGTTAGGTTTATGCTGTCCAAATTTGGTGCCAGTTCGCCCACTGGTTTTTGAGTTATGTTAATCCCACAAACAAACATTACATTTTTATTTATATAGATTATCTTAATCTATGGCGCAATGGGATAAACTCTTATGCTGCTGAACTTCTGACCTGAAGGTTGACAGTTTGAATCTGTGGGATGGGGTGAGCTCTCACTGTTAGACCTAGCTCCTGCCAACCTATTAGTTCGAAAACATGCAAATGTGAGTAGATCAATAGGTACCGATTTGGTGGGAAAAGGCAAAAAGACACTCCATGCAGTCATGCTGGCCACATGACCAGGAGGTTTCTACAGGCAATGTAGGCTCCTCGACCTGAGGCACAGATGAGCACCAACTCCAGAAGATGGAAATGAAAGGAGAAGTGTATTGTCGAAGGTTTTCATGGCCGGAATCACTGGGTTGTTGTAGGTTTATTTGGGCTATATGGCCATATTCTAGAGGCATTATCTCCTGACGTTTCACCTGCATCTATGGCAAGCATCCTCAGGATCTCACCACCTCTGAGGATGCTTGCCATAGATGCAGGCGAAACGTCAGGAGATAATGCCTCTAGAACAGGGGTCCTCAAACTAAGGCCCGAGGGCCAGATACAGCCCTCCAAGGTCATTTACCCGGCCCTCACTCAGGGTTAACCTAAGTCTGAAACTACTTGAAAGTACACAACAACAACAACAACAACAACCCTATCTCATCAGCCAAAAGCAGGCCACACTTCCCACTGAAATACTAATAAGTTTATATTTGTTAGAATTATTCTTCATTTTAATTATTGTATTGTTTTTAAGTATTTTTTGCACTACAAATAAGATCTGTGCAGTGTGCATAGGAACTCATTCATGCTTTTTTCAAATTATAATCCGGCCCTCCAACAGTTTGAGGCCTCTGTGACCTGGCCTCTGTTTAAAAAGTTTGAGGACCTCTGCTCTAGAACATGGCCATATAGCCCGAAAAAACCTACAACAACCCAGAAAGGAGAAATCTTTGTCTTTGTCTGTGTATTTCTGTTTTATTGTATATCATTGTAACGAGGCACTGAATGTTTGCCTGTATCTGTTTATATGCTGAGTCCCCTCAGGGAGAAGGGTGGAATATAAATAAAGTGTTATTATTTTATCATCATCATTATTCCCATTTTAATGTGTGTAGAGTGTTTTTTTTAAAAAATGTGATATAAACAAGGGATAAAAAAAACTGGCCTCACTTCCCATCACCTCTGGAATTTACTGATAATTTCAGCTCTATCCACGGTAAAGTTTGACAGCCCCGTGAACAGTTTTTCCTCTTCAGTTTGTATCAACAGGTCAGCAGCCAAGTGGCTAAGACCTTCCAGAGACCACACAGACTGCCAAAATTTTATGTATACAGTTGGAAGCGACCACAAGAGCCATCCACTCCAATCCCCCTGACAGATACTTCTGAAAGATGGTTATCCAGCCTCTGTTTAAATACCTCCAAAGAAGGAGACTCACCACACTCTTGGACAGCTCTTGGAAACAAACAAACTTGACAGTGGACAGCAGTCTACTTCTGGTTTTGATCAACAAAGTTTCATAAATGTTAAACAATGCGTAGAGGACACTCTAACCTACTGAAAAGGTGAACTGCTGCCACTGAAGGCATCTAAGGGTATGTCTGAACCAGACCAATATATCAGTTGGATCCCATATGAACGGTCATGGCTGCATTCTTTGGAATTCTTTGGGATTTGTATTTTGGGAAGGAGCTCGGGATGCTCTAGAAGAGAATTTTTGTCTTCGCCCCTAGAATACCACTCCCCAAACTACCGTAGTTTAATTCTCAATCTCTTTTCTCAGAGTACTTTGGCAATTGTAGTTCAGGACATTGGAGGAGAGTACGCTAGTCTGGAATGATGAGCCCACACCAAATTTCAAGTCTCAAGATTATACAGGATGGAGTTGTGATCATCTAAATAGTATCAAAGTACTTTAAGTGGGAAATGTAGTCTTGGGGCTGCATACAGCCCCAGGACTACACTTTGCCCACTGTGAGTTCAAAGCACCCAGAGCTTGAAATAATTTATTTTTGAACCACAGCTCCGAGTACCCTGAGGGTTGGCATGGTCATTGCTTTTGGGAGTTCAAGTCGGCAGAATTAAACTTTTCAAGTGATGGCAATTACTAATGCATTTCTTCTTCTGAACAGGTCATTTCCAATGTGCACACCTGTGGGAATTCAGGTAGAGGGAATGTTGTCAGCAACCCAATAAAAAAGATTAATAAAAATAAAATAAAATAAAATTTAAAAAAGCTGTACAGATCCCATAAGCCTTCAAAAGAACACTTTGGAAGTTACTTCTAATTAATAATTTGTAACAGTTGTAGTGACAAACAAAACCACCCCAAGTAAATTATTACTGTTGTACTGTTTATACGTGTTGCTCTTTACTTTCCATTTCTTAATAGAAATTAATACGGTTACACTGAATTATTTTTAAACAATCCGAATACTACAACAACACACACTATTCCCATTGACTTCATCATTATTCTTCTGTCTCAAAATATAAGGCAGCAGCAAAATGAGGCAAATGCAAACTCAACACTTCAACCATGTGAAGCCCTGTAACAATTGTAGGAAAACACAAAAGAACAAGTCCCCAATTACACTGTATTATTAATAAAATTTTGTAGTTAAAAAAAGGAGTTAATGAGAAGTATGGTAGCTAGTTGTCTATAATTAACTACGCCTAAGTTTTGACCCAAACTGAACAGACAGAACTATTAGAGAAATATTTATTTAATAAATATCTCTATAATCTGTTATGTCCATTTGAAGGGTGGGATATTATAGAAAATTATAAGTAGATCTATACCTCATGAGAAAATGTCAGCTGTGCCCCCACTTCGCTTTTAAAATTTACTGTCAACATTTCTATACAGTAGGACGCCATGGAACTAGTATCCACACATTCATTTATCCACCTCTGACAAAATATGTCATCTCTAGACATTTTCTAGTTTCTAGCATGACTCTATGGTATATTTAAGTTAGAAGTTCTTCATTTCAACAGGGATCACTATCATTCAGTTTCACATATCCACACAAAATTCAGAGATGTATTCCGTAAGGATAGATAGTGGCTGTACTGTACTGCCCAATTTTCAGAACTCTTTGGATGTTTTGCCATAGAGAAACAAAAATAGAAATAAAATATAATTTAAAATCGAAAACAAATCAAAACATTTGCCAAATAAAATCAAAGTAAAACATAATATTTAAAGCATTGTTGTTGTTCATTCGTTCAGTCGCTTCCGACTCTTCGTGACCTCGTGGACCAGCCCATGCCAGAGCTCCCCGAAGTATTAGAAGTATATAATATTTTTTTAAACAGCTTGGAGAATTGACTACTGTGGATTCCAGCCTCTAGAATTCCCTCAAGCACAATGGACACATTAACTACAACCCATGTGCCTTATACTTGCTGCATGTTTTCTTTTAAAATCTCCTTGAATGATCACATTTTACAGAGAAAGCAATATTATGAATGGGAGAACAGTCATACTGGCCTAAAGAGTTTTCCACTGGGGATATTAGCAAACATTAGAAAAGAACGATAGATCATTCATTCATACCACAATACAAAGTGGTAGATCATTCATTCATACCACAATACTCCACAATCTAACAATACAAAGCTCTTTTAGGTCATCACTCTATAGTCCCACAATTGGCCTTCACCTGGCTGCAACCCTTTGTGACGCAATCTCCTGATGGATGCCATGTAATTTGGCATTCATCTATTGCTTTGATTCCAGTAAACAAGTTTGGAGGGACAATGGTAGCTGGTTGGGTTCAGTACCAGTAAACAATGCTTGGGCACAGCAGCAGGTGGAAAGAACAGCATGAGCAAATATTGCATCAGAAGATGACAACATCTGGAATAATCTAACCATTCTACTAGATGATCCAACAATAACAAAAGAGGCCCTGTTTAGCATTCTCATTTGACAACTATGCCTGATTTCCCTTTTGCGTCAGACTCAAATTAAAGTATCAATACAATATGTATGTTTGCATTGTTCTGGAAGTCCTGAAAGGAGTGGTATGGAGAAATGAGCATAAAA